AACCCTAAACCCTTAAGCCCTACCAAACCCTAAACCCTAAACCCTAAACCCTAAACCCTAAACCCTTAAGCCCTACCAAGCCCTAAACCCTAAACGGCCTAAAAACTCTTCTAACCCAAGCAAGGCGAAGCTGCGACATGGGCCTTCGTAAGTAATGGTTTAGGGCTTAGGGTTTAGGGTTTAGGGTTTAGGGCTCCTTTGTTAAATGGGCTCCTTAAAGGGATCCCTAAGGGTTTCAGAAGGGAGCATCATGGGACTCAGTAAGTATGGATATAAGTACGGTAATTTGGGGTTAAGAGAATTATATGTAGGTGTAGTTACCTTATTTGTAACCCTACTTCCGAGTACTATGTCCCATGATCCTTTGAGCAACCCCAACCCCAACCCCGGGTTGATGATATCAATCCTGCATTACCCATAATCAGGAATATACAACAACTCCCATAGTTTAGGGTCCTTAAAGTAATTCAGGGTTTATATCATCAACAGTAACATCCTAGACCGTCGAAGCCATAGATTCCTTAGATTCCTTAAAGGAGCCCTGTAAGGAACCCTTTTTACTACTGCTGGTGATACAAGCCTTGCATTATTTTAAGGACCCTGAGCTATGGAAACTATGGTATCTTCCTTATTATGGATAATGCAGGGTTGGTATCATCAACCGTAGGTATGATGATCCTCTGAGTAGACGAAACCCTAAACCCTAAATCCAAAACCCTAAACCCGTTGAGTACAAAAATCCTGCGGAGAGCACGCATCTGCCGGCCTTCGGCAGCGAGAGCTCGGGAGCGAATGGCATGTTTCTTCACTGCCTCAAGGGGATCTGCTTGGGGTCTAAGGGTTTAGGGTTTAGGGTTTAGGTGTAAGATTACGGTTAGAATAAAAAGATTTGATGAGGCTTTCTTGTGGTTTTTGTGTAGCGTCTAACATAGGGATCTGAATGGTAAGACCATCACCCGAAAATCATCCTACTACAACTATACAAGGACTACGACAGTGTTTACAAGTTTAATTAGCATCACAGATCATCACATGGGTAGTTTTCTAAATTAGGGTCCCTGCTTAGGTCCCCAATATAGTACGGCACCCTTATAAAAAGGAGCCTAAAAGGGACCCTAATTTAGAGCACTACCCACATGCATGCGAAGGTCTTTTCGGTGATGATGCCGGGATCTTACTAAACTTCTACATAGTACACATGTGATGGCAGGCTGCGGAGCTTGATTGAGGGTTTAGGGTTCGGGATGTTATTAATGCTATAGTCTGAAAGGCTCCGGAGACTTGTCCATTCATAGGGCATGCCTCTCCAAGCCCTGCATGCCGTTGATGCCAAGGTATGTTCGAGGGCATGTCATCGCAGAAGTGCATACTCAGGCTGGTCCGGCGTATGATGTAGGATATAGTAATGTACGGGCCTAAATAATTGCCAATACAATTTTGGGAGTTCCTTAGTATACTTATAGTATGATGGGCCCCCAAAACCCCATTCTGATTATTCAGGCCCCTATGTTATATACGGTCCCTAAACCCTAAACCCTAAACCCCTATATTATGTACGGTTCATGGCTTCATGGTGGTGGGCTTTCTGCATGTGCACCTCTGGTGACCCATAGAAACTGTAGATCCCCTAAATTCACCTGAAACCCGAAAGGCGCCCAGGCGAAAAGAACAAAAACCGAACCTAAACCGAACCTAAAAGCCGTGGAGGCCAAGAAAGGCCCATGCACCTTAAACCATAAACACTAAAAACTAAACCCTAAACCCTAAACCACCTCTATAAAACTCCTAAACTCAAAAATCCGGAAGCCGCAGAGCTCTACATGAACCCTAAATCTGCAGAACCAGCATCCCGGACACTATAAAACCCGCATAGAACCCTTATGGGTCAGGGTTCAGGGT